CATATTCATTTGCATTTTCGTTGTGGAAGTTGTTATGTTGTCACTTCCATTTCAAGCGAATCGTTGCTGTCTTAACAGAGGAAATGAAGATGAGAAATGCAAACAATGCAAACCTAAACTAATCGGCACCGATAACTGTGTGTTTTGTCCATGCGCTTTTCGGGAGCTGTGAACATTTGCAAAACTGTCAAACAGATTTGAGTTCATTGGTACACATCCATCTGCAATTCAGCTTTTTGTAAACCGACCGCACATTTCTGGTAGCAATGAAAATGTGAAGTAATTTAACATCAATAAGATAATAAGCAGCAAGAGATAATATTGGAACCTGTGAGTGAATAGAATATGATGAGAACAGTGAAAACCGATCGTGTATACCAATAGTGATACATCGTTCAACTGATGCTGTGCGATATAACCCACGAAATGGTGACGTACTTAGACACTCCTTAATAACACAACGTTCACATGTTTTCAAGAACATTTATATCTCGTTATTCACTGAGTGAACAGTTAAGTTTGTAAATAACGTGACAAAATAAGTTATTGTTCGTAAACTTCGGTAATTCATACCAGATTTTTTTGAAATTGACATTTAGAGTAGTTTATAATCGTTGTCCTATCATAACAATTGAGCGATTGAGAATAATTCTACGAAAGAGTGCTTAAAATTGTAACTTCCGCTTGAATAACAATTCTTCTCAAAACCAAAAAATATCTGGTCAGTACTGTGAATGCTATTTCATAGTTACACATCTTAATTGATAACTTCAGAGTTATGTAAATTCCATTATTACGTCATTCCAACTTCGTTTTGAGGATAATTCGCTTTGAAACTTTTGACAACTGCATTCCAAACTTATTTTCTGCATTCAAGTTATTATCTTGCACCTTGGCACATGCACTAGTGATAGATGCTGAAGTTGTTGCGAATATGTTAAGTTTNTTTAATCTTTTTATAGTATCTCATGTGAACATTCATTTTCGATAACTTCCGAAGAAAGTATGAATACGAAACCGCAATGACATAGAGTGAAGTGAACAAGTTTGTTATTAAAATGAGTATCGTTAAACAAATAATGAGAGCACTGTATGAGATAATAGAATGCGTGACACTCGTTTCCACTGTAACTCACCTTTTATACTCACGCGATACCTTTTATAACAACTGTTCATTTGAAGAGCATCTACAAGAAAACACTTTTATGTGAATATCCGTATGCATGTCTAAACAACACAGGACTATGTATTACGATTTTCATAAGTGTTCAAATCGATCATCATAAATTGTGGATGCATAACAAAACTCACCTCACGTTTTAGTGGAAACAAATATTCCGGAAAGAAATGCTATCGATGACATAGCGAGAGAATGCATACCAATTGTAAATTACAAGTGATATGCTTCTGGAGACATCCGACAAACACAATCCGTAAGGAACTTGTCAGGCAAGAATGAGGATCACAGGAACACACTGTTGGGGACTCATGAGTAACTGAGTGATGTTCAAGCATGAGGAGTGAACGGCTCGTGACTGCGAGCGTGAGCAGTGACAAGCTTTATCTTGAATGGTGGGTGAGCCAGCAACTCTGAACGAACTCTTAAGTAATGAACATGAGAAGCTCAAAAATTTTTGCTGAGCAACACCGATACATGATCAATGAGTTAGCAACACCTTTTTAAATCACACATCCCTCATTCAGATTGACCTGTTTCTAAATAATAGCAGATTTCATAGAGTCGATAGATGNTGTAAGTGGAATAAAGGTAAAAACAGTAAGGATGATAAAATGATTGTGATGATGATAAAATAATGGCAATGATAATAATGACAAAGGCAATATTGATACTGTGAACAGCAGAAGCAAAATTCGTACACAGATGGAACTGTTAATAATAATGTCAATAACGGTAGCAACGATAATAATAATAATAGTAGCAATAATGATATTAATCACCCCGATAATAGAAACAAAGTAATGCTAATAACGGAGATCATATTGTCAATAGTATGATATTATATTAAAGTCATATTACGTTCATGATATGATTTTGATCATATGATATCATACATCCGCAAATGATGAGGACGTATGACATGTTTAATATGGCATATGACATATGATATTTTCATCCTCTCATATGCCTGATTTTACGTGGCAGCACATGAAAAAGCAAATTTACGAACTGATTTGAATAGAATCGAGTTAGCATCACCATTCATACCGACGTGTGAGACGGCAAACGGTTGCCTTTGGAGTGAGCAGTGAGTTTCAATCGAAGCTACTACTTCAGCTCCAACTCACGTCCCAGCTTCAAAATTTGCTATATTCCACTCTGGCTCCTCAAAAACTATCGTGCCTGTGTCAGCTTTGACTATTGAATGTTGCTGTGATATTCATTTTTGCGTGAACAGAAAGAACTTGTTGGATCCGAAGCTTACAATTAGGCATCACTGGTTGCAAGAAGGCTATGCTATTGTTTTGAAATCACCCCCTCTCGCTCATTTATGTTACCTACGTTGAAACACTGATGAATGTCGTTTCAGAGTGCAGAGTGAATAAAGTGACCGGCTGACAACAATGGTTATAACGAGAAGTGCAGCAAAAGGTATCATAATTTGCCTAAGGACACTTTACCTAAGGACACCTAACGGACACTTTGCTTAACGGGCAGTTTGCCTAACGGACAATTTGCCTGATGGAGTTTGCCTAACGGCAATTTTGCCTAATGTCGTTTTGCCGACCATTAGGCAAAACGACATTAGACAAAATTGCCATTAGGCAAACTCCGTTAGGCAAACTTTCCGTTAGGCAAACTGTCCGTTAGTCAATGTGTCCTTAGGCAAACTGTCCTTAGCCAAAACATCTTCAGGCAAATTATCCAGATACCTTAATTTCTGATGTATTATTGCATAAAACTTCACTTTTCAGTTTATGATAAATAATTTCGTCGTTTACCACAGCAAGATATTTATTTCCAGATGAATGTGTTTTCAGCAATCGCTCTGAAAGAAGCTCAAGCTAAAGACGGAGAAAACGACGCCCAAAACGGGAACAAAAGACGCTCACTTGCGCAAACAAAGACGAATCGTGTAAAGGCCACCAAGCGAAAGTATCATTGATTGCTCATATGTCACTCCTGAATTAACGAATCGCAATAATGTGACAACCATAAAATTTTCATTTACCGCTCTGAATTTCACTATGCAACTTAGTGATGTCGATTTGATGTTGCCATATTGCAATGTTGTTCAAAACTGTACGTTGAAAAATTGATGCAGAAACGTGCATTCTATGAATGTGATGAGATTGATTATTCAGCAGTATTCGTATACCGTGGAAAACCACGAATTTGGATGATCAAGTTTCAAGGAAGAAGCAGCAAAAAAGAAGTTCGTTGTATTCCTTGAAGAATCCAACAAAATCGCGCACGAAGCAACCGAAACCGAAGTTAATTTTCATTTAATAAACTGCTGCCTTTTTCTGATTTCATTCAAATTTTTGTCAATTATTGGCTTTGAGTTTATAATTTTAGAATTAAGTGTTCAAAATTTTTTTTGCCTTCAAAATTTTTTCGAAGCAGGCATAATTTCTTCGCATTCCACTAATCATTGCTTGCGATAGTGACTGACCAATCAGCTTGTATTAACAAATAGTTTTTCATCACGGCTGCGCTTGATTCTGCACAAGGTTCTAGAATTCAGTGCTCATGGACGGCGTTCCAAGTCATAGCTTGTTCTCACAATGCTCCAAACTACCGTAGGCGAAGCGTAGCGACCAATGAGCTACAAATGAAGAAGGAGAGCGGTTTGAGATGGGGCATTATTTGTTGAGTCTGATTACGAAGTCGTTGTATTCAGGCCAACGAAAAACCGAATGCGGGAGAAAATCAATGAAAGAGGATGTGTCGATAACGCTTCTGGAACCGCACAAAATAACTCCAAATCTGCACGCTTGAATGCTTCTCACAAAAGTGAAAAAAGAAAATCAAGAAAAAGTTATTGTCCTAATCAGTATAAGGTATGTAATAAATTGCCTCTGTCTCAGCTTAAGCACATTCTTTCTTCATGCCTTCAAAATTTTCTTCGAAGCAACTACCAATGTGAGCCAAACCTTTAATCGAGTGATCTGATCTCATTGAAATCACCAGTTTTTGATTGCCACAACAAATAGTTGTCTCAGTCACTCATCGACTGCTATAAAAGTAATTTTCAGGAACGGTGTTGTTCGCGCTCTAAATCATCCAGTGTTAATGAACATACTCAGCACGAATCTGGCGATAAGTCGTCGGATTCACTACCAAAAGTAAAAATTAATCAATTGTATAGTAGATTTGTATAGCAACGAGTACAATTTGTATAGCAATTCTAGAATGTGCTGCAGATGAACGTCAGCATGAAAGTGCGATTGAGGCAGTTCGAAGGGAAACATGAGCTAATAGGCTTGAAGTGACATGGTTATGACAGATGTAACTGCAACAGTCGATCGTTCTCTTTTCGAAGTATTTTTCACTGATTTTCAGAATAATTACTGAAATTGGTTTCAGCATGTTCGAGTGGCATTAACGTGTGGAGTGATTAAGGCGATTGCAGAGAAATTAAGAGATTACGAGGATAATGAACGGATAGTCGAAATTTACATATCTTCATCTGATATTAAGCCGGTGCGTTATGTCTATGAAATTGTTGCATCAAAAAGTTTCGTGTTTTTAAGTGGAACTGAGCTCTTAAATTGATCCAACCGCTGCTCATTCGATAGCGTAACGGAACATTTTCCATATCTCATTGTTATTTCGTTCAGTTCACCAATTAAGTTTTTATTTCAAATCGTACGATTAGAAGAAGCTTACCAAAACGCAAATCATGAATTATAATAACTCTCTGAAAGATAATTTGCTTACGACGAGCTTTTATTGAGTGAATATTTAGAATTACACATTGTCATAAAATTCAGCTACATAAAATTCTACTGAAACCGTCAACTGTTCAGGCCACTAATTTACCAGACGACGCACTTTTCATAAGGCAACCGGGCAATGATATTGGTGAACCGTTGGCGCTATCAACGCCGCGAATCAGAAACCGAACTCCTCAGTCAGCCTTTAACTGAGGCATTACTAAAAATGAGGTGCTACTGCAGAAAAAGATTTATTTAACATTGCACACCCTCTGATCTTCATCCATTATGAGTTATTACTTACCTGTTCAAATTATTTGCGATGAAATCATTATTGTAATTATTTTTATATTGATGGAGTATGATGGTTTGTTGTTCGAATATCAGTATCATATTTTTCTATTTTTTTGTACTGAAATTGACTGGATGTGATATGATACTTTTGAATATTGCTCATATCTGTAATTCGTATCCGTATTTGTAAATTCAACTTTTAAAACCTGCTCAATTCGATATGTATAAATTCGTGTCCATATCTGTAAATTCAATATGTACCCGTGATTGTGTTATGCGTTTCATCAATTTTGCAATCACTAATTTTTTTAAAACCATTCAGATGTATCAAGTGAAATTGTTGTAAAATGAGTGTCTGCATAAAAATTCAGTGAACGAATGGGCATACACATGAAACGGAGCACAAAGGAACAGTAACATGGCTGTTCCGCATCATTGAACAATTAGAAAACAATCGAAACAGTTGCGGAATACATTCATGACGATTTTTGTCTGTTCATCAAACGAGTTTCACGTTCAACGGACTTCTTAAAGAAACACCATTAGCATCACCTGAAAAGCGAATGTTAAACTTTCGTAACAGATCGAACGGTACTAACATGCTTCAGAGGTTCTTTTGATATAGGATCAGAGAGTTCCAATAGTTTATAAATAAGTGTGCTCGCAATTTTCATTCTATTGATCTTATCGAAGCGGACCTCAAATAGAATAACTGGTTTCACTCGATTCATTATGACCGAGCATTGACGTTAAAATTAAAGCTTTTCAACGATGCAAACTGGAAGCAGATCGAGATAAGGCACAAGATAAACTGAAGAGCTTGAGAGAGGATATATTAGAAATTCAAAGTAAACTTAAGGCAGTGAATATTGAAACGGAACGATGCGAAAGAACAAGTCTGCATATTTTTTTGCTGATTAATAGCGTTTCGCTCGATTGACCAGAATTGAATATAATTCTTGTTCAGATTGATAAGGATTTTTACTACAAAAATCGCTTGTTGCATTCATATGATATCTGAACGCATGTTCTTATTGGAATTTTCAATTTAATATGATTGCTCAATTAATCAAGAATCGAAAGTGAGGGAAGTTTAGACGCAGAGTCATGTAGCTGAAGTGGAGCTGTTGCTTAAAGTGTTATCTGAAAGGAAGCACGAAAATAACCGATTGAAAACACGAATTAAGGA